AGCTCTGGGGGGCACACGGAGCTCTGGGGGGGCACACGGGAGTCAGGGGGCACACGGGGCTCAGGGGGGCACACGGGGCTCGGGGGGGGTGGCCGGCCGTGGGGACAGGCACAGGTGACACCCAGCGCTACCTCGGACGCCGTGGACTCGGGGCGCTCCCGGGGTCGCAGCAGGGTCTCGGCGGGGGCAGGCACACGGGGCTCGGGGGGGGTGGCCGGCCGTGGGGACAGGCACAGGTGACACCCAGCGCTACCTCGGACGCCGTGGACTCGGGGCGCTCCCGGGGTCGCAGCAGGGTCTCGGCGGGGCTGCGGCGTGAGGAGGGGTCCCCGTCCCGCTGCTCCGACCCCCGGCGCTGCCCGGGCTCCCGGGGGGGCTCCGAGGGGCGCGGGGGGGCTCGCTTGCCGGGCGACAGCAGCTGCTGCAGCTTGGCCGCCAACCCCCGGCGCGGGGTCGCCCCCCCGGGACCCCCTCCGGGACCACCCCCGGGACCCCCGCCGGGTCCCTCGTCCCCGCCGCTGTCGTCGGTGGCGATGTCCGAGAGGCTCCCGTCGGCAGAGCCGGGGGGGCCCCGGGCGGCGGGGTGGGGGTCGCGGGGAGCACGGGGGGCTCCCCCGGCCCCTCCCGGGCCGCCCCCTCGCCCCGGGCGCTGCCGGGGAAACTGAGGCTGCCGCTCTTGACCAGCCGCGGGGCCGGGGCCGGGTCCCGCAGGCTCCGACCCGCCCAGGTGGTCTGGCGCTGCAGGGGGGGGCGCGGGGCGGGGGGCGCCGGCTCACCTGCGGGGGACAGAGGGGTCAGGGACAGCAGCCCCCCCATCGCTCCCACCCCTGGCGGGGGCTCAGTCGCCTGAGGGGGACAAGGGGGTGTCAACGGGGCACCATAACCCCCCCCACACCATGGGGGAGGCAGGAGGGGACAGGGGAGAATCGCTGGGGTCCCCCCCAGACCCCTGAGATACTTGGGGGGGCTCCATCAGGGGGTGTGAGTGGGTGGGCACAACCCTCATCCAAGGGGTCCCACCCCTGGGGGGGGCTCAGACACAAGGGGGTGTCAATGGGGCACCACAGACCCCCCACCCCAGGAGCGTGGCAGGAGGGGACAGGCAGGAATCGCCGGTACCCCCGAGACACTCAGAGGGGCTTCGCTGGGGTGCCCCCCAGGCTCAGATACTCGGGGGGGCTCCATCAGGGGGTGTGAGTGGGTAGGCACCCCTGGGGGGGCACAGACACAAGGGGGTGTCAATGGGGCACCATAAACCCCCCACACCCCATGGGGGTGTCAGGAGGGGACAGGGGAGAATCGCTGGGGTCCCCCCCCAGACCCCTGAGATCTCAGAGGGGCTCCACCACCTGCAAGGGGACATGGCGGTGTGAGCGGGGTGCCAACACCCCCATTCCTCCCTGCTCACCCGGGGGGTCCCACCCCTGGGGGGGCTCAGACACAAGGGGGTGTCAATGGGGCACCACAGACCCCCCACCCCAGGAGCGTGGCAGGAGGGGACAGGCAGGAATCGCCGGTACCCCCGAGACACTCAGAGGGGCTCCACCACCTGCAGGGGGACACGGGGGTGTGAGCGGGGTGCCAACACCCCCGTTGCCCCCCTGCTCACCCGGGGGGTCTCCGGCGGCTCGGCGCCGCTGCCGCTGCCGCAGGGGCTGCCGGAACTGCGCCGCCCCCAGCACCACGTTGCGCAGCTTGGCCCAGCGCAGCCGCCCCCCCTGCGTCCCCGCCGGCCACTTGCTCTCCAGCACCGCCTGCCAGGGGGACACGGAGGGGTCAGGGGTGGCCAGGGGAATCCCCCCCATGCCCACCCAGGGGATGGCCTCGGGGTCACCTTGTTGTAGTAGCCGTAGGTGACGGTGTTGGGGACGATGCCGGCGCGTTTCATCTCGAGCAGGACGCGCACGGAGAGCACGGGCTCGCCGTACTGCCCGCAGAGCTGCATCAGGATGCGGTAGCACACCTGGGGGGCACCTCCCCGTCAGCCTGGGCCCCCTCTCCAGCCTCAGCATCCCACAGTCAGCCAGGTGGGAGAGAGTTCCAGGGTCACAGAGGCCAACCTGTGCCCCATCCCCACCTGGTCACCCAGAATAACGTCCAGGCTTTCCTCAGACACATCCAGGGGTGGCCACTCCCCTCTCCCCTCCAAACCTCTCCAAACCTCACCTTTTCCAAGGGGAATTTTCCTAAACATCCACCCTGAGCCTGCTCTGGCCCAGCCTGAGGCCATTCCCCCTTGTCCTGTCCCTGTTCCTGGGAGCACAGCCCGACCCCCCCGGCTGTCCCCTCCTGTCAGGAGCTGTGCAGAGCCACAAGGTGCTCCCTGAGCCTCCTTTTCTCCAGGCTGAGCCCCTTCCCAGCTCCCTCAGGAATTCTCCTGCTGCTCCAGCCTCTTTCCTTTCTCTGGATGTGCTCCAGCCCTGTCATGCCCTTCCTGCCCTGAGAAATGGACACAGTACGGGACACTGGACACAGCACGGGACACTGGACACAGCACTGGCCATTCCAGCCCGGTGACTCCAGCAGTCCCACCCCAGCAGCAGATCCCCTTTCCCACGAGGATCTGGAGCAGGAGCTGACCCACCTCGTCGGGCAGCACCACCTTGTGCTGCTCCATCTTGCGCAGGACGTCGTAGGCGAGCTGGAGCGCGCGCAGCTTGGCGGGGGCGGCGCGCACGTGGGTGGGCAGGTACAGGAACCAGAGCCCGTAGCAGTGCCCCAGCAGGCACCGTGCCCACAGCTCCGGCACTGCCGACGACTTCTGGGCCACCCGCTGGGCCACCTTCATCTCCTGGGGACACCGGGGACCAGGGAGAGTCAGGGGACGGGAGCTGAGCCCCTCAGCGCCGTGCCCAAGTGTCACAGCTCACAGACACCTGTGCCATCCGGGCACCTGCCCAGGTGTCACAGCTCACGGGGATGCTTAGCCACGTGTTGTCCCACCTGGGCACCCGTCCAGGTGGCACAGGCACGCGTGCCCAGGTGCTGTCCCTCACCTGCTTGGTGCGGCGCGGGGCGGGGCTGCTCGGGGCGCTGCTCCGGGCCTGGCACAGCTGAGCCACCAGAGGGTCCCGGGGGGGCTCCAGCAGCTCCGGGCGCAGCGTGGGGAACCCGTCATACCTGTGGGGGGGCACAGGTGAGGGGGGTTTGGGGAGGGGGAAGCGCGGGGAGGGCCCGGGGGTCTCACCTGTAGCGCGCGGGGGGCTCGGCCCCGTCTGGCCCCGCCGGCTGCTCCGGGGGGGTGATGAACACCGTGTGCTCCCCGCCCCGGGGGTCGTCCAGCTCCATCAGGGGCGTGTCCTCGGGCTTCTCCAGGTCCACCTGCACCTGGGGAGGGGCAGCGGGGTCAGCAGGGGCAGGGAGGGGACACAGGGACACACCTTGTGGGCACAGGGTGAGGAACAAGAGGCAGGGAGTGAAGACACACAAGGGACACATGGAGGGGACACACTTTGTGGGCACAGGGTGAGGAACTCGAGGCAGGGAGAGGGACACACGAGGAACACACCGAGGGGACAAACCTTGTGGGCACAGGGTGAGGAACTCACAGGGAGAGAGGGACACACAAGGGACACACCGAGGGGACACAGGGACACACCTGGTGGACACAGGGGTGAGGAACTCGAGGCAGGGAGCGAGGGACACACAAGGGACACACGGAGGGGACACAGGGACACACCTTGTCGACGCAGGTGTCGAAGAACTCGAGGCAGGGCTCGCGGTCGCTGGCGAAGGAGCAGTCCTCGATGAACTGCGTGAAGAGCTGCGTGCGCAGCAGCTGCCCGTAGAAGCGCTGGTACGCCCGCTCCCGGGAGCGCAGGAACCCTGGGGACACGGGGACATGGGGATGGGGTCATTGGGGTGGGGT